GCTAACGAAAGAATAAAACAAAGTTCTGTTCATTTTTGTTGTTATAAGAGCAAATCAATAGGGAAAGTAGCAACATTCATTACTATTTATCATTCTGTCTCTGCCAGTCTTATTTAAAGAACTCAAGCATGGCAGTTTGCACAGTCATAAATTATGTTGTTGAAGGATCCCCTGCAAAACAGTGGCTGGTTCCACACAGGGACACAAAAATGCAACACTGTAGTAGAAGCAACAAGCAAGTTAGAGCTTTCTCCTCACTGATTCAAAGAATATTTCTGGGCACTGCTGCAACCCATCTTTCCTCCAGCAGCCAAGAAGCAGCTCACAGCTGACCTGCCGCTACACTGTTAAAGAAAAAAAAAACCCTCAAAGCTGAAAGGGGAGGAGAAAACCGGAGTTCAGCTCTGCCATTTCAAACACAGCACAAAGCTGTGCTGCGCATTACCTGCTGGCAAAGCTTTCACTCAGAGGCTTTGCCCACAGTTGTAATGCCATTTCCCCTTCAAATCAGAGCAAAGCAGGTTTTCCTTTGATCCAGCTTAAAAGTGAGAGCCACAAGAGCCCTATGTGTTTGGAAAGATCAAGACCTCATATGGAAGCTCTGGGGCAAGATTACCAGCTGATGCCGTAAACACAGCCCAACAATGGTGCCCCTTGGCCGTTCCATTGCTTAACTGACAAGACATTAAGACTCAATAAGTGGTTGAAGGTGAAATGAGAGATTAAAAATTCAGTTTTCTTCCAAGCCAGACCCCACAACTATATTAAATATAAACTGTTTTAAATATATATTTATTTAATTCTAAATAGCAGTAAGCAATATAAGCAAATTATTTACTTATAACTAGGGCAAGAGAAAAAAAATAAAAAATTTCAACACTTTTTAATGCATTTTTAAATAAAATTTATTAGGGGGAAAATGCAAATACAAAAATTTATTGAAAACTATTTTAATCACCCTCCCAAAGATTATAAGGCAAAGAAGGAATTATATTATCTCTACTGAAATTACATGATCTCGAGTTTAACGCCGAAGAATAAAATTACTTTTCAATTGAAAATCCTCCTCCTACAAAAATCGATGTTGGTGGACAATTTTTTAAAAAATATATTCTAACGGAGAAATATCATTATTTGTATGAAACAAAACATCTTTTATTCCTTTGCTTTCTAACACTGAAGATATATAATTTCAATATACATGTAGCCGTGATGACCTGGCTACAGTGACCCATGAGATGGTTACCTCGAGACTAGACTACTGTAACACTCTCTACATGGAGCTGCCCTTGTCGCAAATCTGGAGGCTGCAGCCAGGCTGGTGATGGGCCTCCCTAAATGGGAGCACATCCAGCCTGTGCTGAAGGCACTGCACTGACTGCCAATAGCATACCGAATCTGCTTTAAGGTGCTGGTATTGACCTTTAAAGCCCTACATGGCCAGGGTCCGACATACCTGTGGGACCACCTTTCACCATATATACCCCAGCGAGGACTACGGTCAGGAACACAACATCAACTGACCATTCCTGGCGCTAAGGATGCCAGGCTTGCGGCCATCAGGTCCAGGGCCTTTCCAGTGGTGGCTCCACACTGATGGAATGAGCTCCCGGAAGAGATCAGGGCCCTGTGGGACTTTTTGCAGTTCCGCAGGGCCTGTAAGATGGAGCTCTTCCACCAGGCTTTCAATTAGGAGCTACCACTCCTCTATCACCATCAACATCCGTGGTTTGGGTTGACTCTGGTCCTGGGGAGGGTTTGCGTTATATCATCGCACCAAGCTGAAGATCACCGATGCCGATGATAATTGTTAGTACTCCATCTGACTCATTTAGAGATTACCATCAAAAGTGTACCATCACTAGCACTTTAATTGTTAATTGTTGGATTGTTTTTAATGCTTAATGCTGTTTAAATTTTGTACATGGTTTTTATGGTACAGGGTACCAACGCTGTAAGCCACCCTGAGCCCACTTGCGGGGAGGGCGGGGTATAAATCAAAATAATAAATAAATGGATCAAAAGATACAAAATGATGCTTAATGTTGCCTACTCAGAACTTTATTTACACTATAAAGAGGCTTTCCCCCTACTTCTTTAAATTGCAAAGGCTTTGATAAAGTCCTCAAAACTAATCTAGTGTAACAAATCTCCTCCTGTACTTAACAGAGACAAGGCATCCAGCCCTTCTTGTCGCGTAGTTGCCCCTGCTGCCCCTCACCTTCTCGGTGCTAGTGGTTCCATTGCCTATCATTTTTTACAAATAGCCATAACAGAAGGAATGACTGAGAAAAATATTTCATCTTTAAGGTGCCCCCCTTCCCTTGGTGCCCTAAGCATGTCCTTATTTTGCTTAATGGTTAATTCAGGGCTGGGAAACAACCAAATGAAATGGGCCACACTATGTTCACCCAGGTGAGAAAATCCCCGTATGGAAACAGAAAGGCTGATTCCGCAAAAGCAGTTGTCCTGCCCTCTGTCTCCCATTTCTTCCGGTTGTACTGCTCAATTTCCTACTATTTGTTGTGTGGCTGCATTTCGACCTGCATCTCCCCTCGATTTCCTCTGCATCTTCTTGAGCATAAAAATAAGGCTCAAGAAGACGCAGGGGAAATGGAAGATGTGGGTCAAAATGTGGCTGCGCAGCAAATAGTGGGAAATTGACCAGTACAACCGTGGGAAACAGGAGACCGAGGGCAGGACAACTGCTTTTGTGGAATCAGTCACAGTGTTCCTGTATAAAGATGGAAGGATTTTTGTGCCATGCATGCATTGTTTTCATCAGGAAATTTTTAATAGTTTTTTGTGTCAGTTCTTCTTCATAAATCTCATATTAGTCCCTGCTCAATGTGCTACAAAAATGTGCTTCCATGTTGGGAAGAATGCATGCCTCAAATGTGTCTAGATTTTATCCAAGATTTTCCTTTTCTCTGAGAGTTTCTTATGTAGAAAATTAGTCACAATTATAACAATTTACAGTCTGCAAGGAAAGCATTTTTATTCACGGTGGAGTAAATTTAAGTTCAGTAAAAAAGAGTTCGCTTGACTGTAATCCAGGATGAAAATACTTCAATATATCAATTTTCTCATTCTTGAGATATTCCTGACCGTGCCACATTAAGCTGTGGAAATAAAAAACTACATTTATCCATCAAGAACAGAACACCTGCTTAGTAATGCACTGAAACAGAAAAACATATTATTAAACTGTTGAATGAACAATATTTGAACACAGTGGTGTTTGATATTCAGTCTGCAAGTGAATGTTACAAAGTATTTAAACATGTTTTCAGTTTAAATAAAGGTGGACTAAAGGCTAAAGAATCCATCTTCCTTCAGATTTAACATCTGATAAGTCACTTGTTTCTGTGAACTAGTAACATTTAGGAAATCACTCAGATTAATGTTGTTTGTGAACATGCTTATCTATGTATCTAATGCATCACACTTTTATCTTTCCCTTCCTAGAAGGAGCACAGGGTAGAAACATGTGATTATTCTGTTTTATCCTCAAAATATCTCTGTGAAGTAGGTTAGGCTGAGAAATGCTGACTGGCATGAGACCACCTAGTGAACTTCACTTCAAAATGAGGATTTGAACCCTAAACCCACTAGTCCTGGAATCCACAGTGTTTATAAAAGTTAATTATGCATTTTGCTTCTAGGTAATGCTGTGCACATGACTACTACTTATGAACCATCAGATGCTCAAGGGAGAATCCATGCATCAATAGAAGACCAAAAGAAGCTTGAACGAATCTCACTGAGATTTTACTTTTGGGCAAATATGGGGGTGTATCTGTTGTAATTTCTAAATACCGTAGTCAGATGTGCCAGTGATACATGCATTCAGCAAAACTTCCAGAAGATAGTTGGTCAAATTGATTATATTTTCTAAAGACATCTGTTTGCAAGGAATATATACAATTTTGACTGATAAAATCAAGATTTTATATATTATAAAGGATACGTTTTTAGACTGGTGATGTTACAAAAGCCATAGACCCCGATCCTCCAGAGCACTTCCAAAGATCTGCTTGTGAAGCACCACTTTCTCACCTCCCCCTTCTGTTGTAGCCCAAAATTCAACCAAAATGTCAGAGGGCATATTGTGTTTTAACAGGAGAGTGAAGGTGAGAAAGTCACTCTCTGTGGGTGGAAATCCTTCAGTCTGTGAGAATTTCTGGTGGATGCAAGCTTGAAGCCTTCCTCCAGGCTAATCTCCTCTGGTGGAAGCAGCCATTCTTTGGCAGAAAATTCACTTAATTTGAAGAAAGTCTCCTTAGGCGGGAGCAAGGCTTCTCACTTTGCTGAGAGCGGTGGTAGGATATAAGCCCATAATGTGTAGTGAGTTCTATTCAAAGCATTTGCTGGGTATTTCCACTGTAAAAATGCAAAGTTGGCACTTACATTTCTCATTATCACTTTTATTTTATTTATATTTATACATTCAATTTATAGCCTGCCCGCCCTGCAACGCGGGCTCAGGGCGGCTTACTTTCTACTAGCACTTTTGAGACACAATGTAGATGAAAAGTTTCTGCTCTTATCTGTGGATATAAAATCCCCATAGCTTATAACATAATTGGAGGAAAGAGAACATAGAGAAAGCAAGGAAGTGATATTTTATGACCAAAATGAGTACATTTAATTTTCAAAATACAGGTCTGATGCATATTTATTGCTTAATAAACAATAAGAATGGCTTAAATAAAATGTTTGTTTTGAACATTTGTCTCAAGCTGAGAACTGAACAATATATCAATACAAGTTCAAAAAAATTTTAGTGGTAATGTGCTTGGCTTTTAATGACAACTGTAATACATAGTTCTAATCATAGCACTGCAATAATGTTCTGTGAAATAAGTAAAGTAAGTTTTTTCATAGTGGCATCTATGGAAAACAGTGTATTGAACTGCTGTTTCTTGATCGTAGAAGTGTGAATTCACCTTACCCAGTGGTAGCCCTTTGACATATTTTTTTCCCTTTTCAATTCTCAGTGTCTTGTATTTGAAGATGCTCCGGCTGGGGTCAAAGCAGGTCTGGCAGCGGGAATGCAAGTGGTCATGGTTCCAGATGAAAACCTGGATAAAGATCTCACAAAAGAAGCAACTCTAGTACTTCAGTCTATGAATCACTTTAAGCCAGAACTCTTCGGTCTACCGCCATTTCTCTGAGCAGTGTTTTATTATTGTTGTTTTAATGTAGCTCTTCTTTATTGGTGGGGAGACTATTTATTCAGACAGCACACAAATCCTATTGCAATTATATGTTATTTGTTTATAATTAGTTGTAGGAGTAACTCATATATTGAGATCTGGTGTTAGATGGAAAGATGGGACTTGTAAGTTCTGCAAGCATAGCATATATTATAGCCTCCTATTCTGGAAGCATTCTCCCATACTTCATCACCCCAGATCTCAGAACCACTTTAGGAGGTGCCTCTGATTTAGTGCAATAAGGTACTGCCAGAAGTAAAATAGAGAAAGTCTTGGATTAAAAACCCCTTTGTGCGCCTAAAAAGGCTCTGAATCATCTCTATTGTGTTGACTTGTTTGACATTCCACATTGTTGCAGTATTCTATTCCTTCATGTATGCTAAGCATGTAATATGAAATTTCCATTTTTAACAAGAATGGAAGATGTTATGCCTGGGATCATTAAAGCCATTGAAGTTTCAGGCAGGGTCTTGTTAATTTTTTACCTTTATCTGACACTTTGTAGTTTTAAGCACTTTGAAAGAAATCGATTAGGAATAGTAGTAGGGTTAGTCTTCTTATTCAGATAACCATTACCAGCCCCCCCTAGGTATTTCTTTGTTCTTGTCTTTTTGTACACAAATTTTATTTTCTGGTTTCATTTTTTCTTTTCACAATTTTGTCATTTGTTTCCTTTCAGTACCAACAGTATAGAAAATGTTTCTTCTGGTTTCCACAAACATTTTGCTCTTGGAATTCTGCGAAGTAAAATGTCAATTCTCCTTCTCTTCCCCCCAAATTTAAAATTGATTTATTTCCTATATTCTGTAGAGTCTCTGTGTACATTGCAGGTTTCAACCATATCCACCATATGTCAGTGATCACATCTGCAGTACTGTTTATGGGAAATAGAGTTGTCTGTATTTAATACTCAGCCACATCCAGATTCTCTGTTCTGAATAAATATTGTAAATTATAGGGGTGCATATATTTTGTTTTAGGTAATTTTAGGTAATTCGGAAGGCCTGGCGTGATCTGGTCCATGGGGTTGCGAAGAATCGGACTCGACTGTGTGACTGAACAACAATGAAATTCTGCTTCTGCTAATTAGGAAGAATGAACAGGAAACTACATAGAACAATGAAGTAACCTGCTAAACACATACACACATGTCCTCCCACATACGGAACTGTAAAGCTGTTAAGGATACAGCCCTTTGAATGTGTTTATATTCCTTCCTTGTATTCATAGTTAGAGATTATTGAATCTGATCAAACCTATCAGAACACAGTTATATAGGACTATTTACTTTGTGGTCCCTCTGCATCCTACTGATCGACATTGCACCTATGCACAGCTAATGGTTCAGAAACTTGTACATTTAAACTCAAATACCTCCTCCCCTCAGAAATATAGCTTCAAACCCTGCATGCCCTGAGAAGTTTCACCTCAGCCTCTCATCTCAAGACTGCATTCTGGAAGTGAGGCGCACAATTGTTTGTTTTCCACTTTCCAGGCATCTTGCCAAAGAAGAATATTAGTGTCTGGATGATATTTGAAACAATCACCAGGATGCATAACTGGGCCCTTTAGAAATGGCCTAGTGACAGTTTCCATGGCGGGAGGGGGGTCATCCTTTCTATTTAAGTAATATTCCCTAGATCAAACCAGGCACACCCAGAAAGAAGTTATAAACCAAGAGGGGCAAGGGTCATGCAAACAGATAGTGGACATACTTCTCCAAACACACTGTCCAATCCTCTTATCTACAAGAATGTTTCAGTATGAAATCCACACAAACTATTGCTATTTACTATTCCAGAAAATGAATTACACTGCTCTTGATGATTGTCACTTTATAGTTGGAGGGATCTTTGAAGTATAAAACAGGTATCTTCTAGGATTCTTCTCTATCATAATACATCAGTTTCAACTGAAGACCATAAGTGACACAAACTCTAGTAAGTCATAATTAGTAACGCTGTTTAGATTTAATTTGATGGGGAATAAAAAAAATCCAAAGCACATCTTTTTTTACAAACTTATCCTAGAGGGATGCTAACAGCATGCCCACTTTGATAAATATTAGCTTTTATAAAACAAAATTTCTAGGTGTGCTTTAATTTCAGTGTATTCTAAAGTCTGTACCCTTGAAATCTAGTTTCATTTACAATTGAACCTCTTTCCAAACTAGTACAGACAATGCCTAAGTAAGGACAACACTTTTCTGGTCAAAGCTACCTTTTTACCACTGAGAGTCATATCTGTAGTAGCAGTTGTAATCAATGAGGCTCTGTTAGTGAGCAAATGATTGATGAATCCAGTAAAACTGATTAATTATTTGAGCATCTGATGATAAAATGATGTTTCCACAATACTGGAATTGTAAGCCTTTAACCCCTTCACTGTCCCTCATGACATCAGTGTGCTTGATCATAATAGTATGCTAGCCTTTTAAACCAACAATATAACTATCAGGCAGTGCCTCTTGTATATCTGGACAACTGCAGTATAAAATGCTTTGTGCTTTAGTTAGAAAGACAAAAGGCTTGGGCTTTACTCCAGAGTTTGAATTTTCCATGAATGCTGTGTTTTCTTCTCAGCATAATAGCTGAGTTCATGCAAGCATCAAACCAATGAACACAGTCTTATGCCTGAGTGAGCATGCAGAAATTCTAGGTAGACATTACCGTAAGACAAGTGGGGAACCTGCAAGGACTTGCAGGAGGCACCTCATTTTCCTTTCCCCCATTATTTCCTGTTTCATTAAGGACCCCATAAAGCCTACCCTTTTCCTGCCTCCTTCTTTCCTTCTCACCTACCAGCCAACCTACCTTTATCTGCACCCATCTTCAGCTTTCCTTCCCTCCCACTGGCAGTAAAACTATGGCAAAATTGTGCAGTGGCTGCCAGCACAGAGCTGTTCCCCAGTTGCATGGTGGGGAATGTGCAAGGACTTGTGGGAGGGCACCTCACTTTGCCATTATCCCCCTTCCTACAGTGCTGCCACCAGTTACAGGTAAGCAACCTGTCTTTTTTTGCTTGCTTCTCCTTCCCACTCATCAACCAGCCTACCTTTATCCAGCTGTTTATTTACTTCATTTACACTTAATCTTTCTTCACAATGGTAGTCCAAAGCTGCTTACATCATTATCCTCTCCATTTTATCTTCATAACAACCCTTTGAGCTAGGTTATGCTTAGAGTGTGTGACTGGCCCATGGTCACCCAGTGAGATTCTATGGCAAAATAGGGGTTCAAACCTGGGTCTTCCAGGTCCTAGTCTGAAACTCTTACCTCTACATCACACTTTGTTGTTGTTTTTTAAGTACCCATAGGTACAATAGCTGGGGTGCTTTTCAGGTCTGTAGAAAGATCTGTATTGTATGTTTTGAATCCACTATGTAGATTTAGTATCTTCAGATTTGGCCATGTTGGGAATCAGATATATTGATGATGATATAGTAAAACTTGAGACATTTCCTTAATAAGCAATATTGAAGTTTATGTGTGCCACAAGCTGGCATACAAATATCTCAGTGTTCCAGAGATGGCAAGAAATAAGAACATAAGAAGAGCTCTGCTCGATCAGACCAATGGTCCATTTAGTCCAGCATCCTGTCTCTCACAGTGGCCAACCAGTTCCTCTGGAGGGCCAACAACAGAACACAAAGGCCAAGTCCTTACCCTGATATTGCCTCCTGGCTCTGGGATTCAGAGGCTTACCCCCCATGAATCGATCTAATTCCCCTTTAAAGCTGGTTATTCCTGTGGCCATCACTACATCCTCTGGCAGTGAATTCCACTGTTTAATCACTCTGTGTAAAGTAGTATTTCCATTTGTCCATCTTTAACCTACTGCCCATCAGCTTCATTGGATGCCCTCAAAGTCTAGTATTTTGGGAAAGAGAGACATTTTTCTTTGTCAACTCTCTCTACCCCATGCATAATTTTATAAACTTCTATCATGTCCCCTTAGTCATCTTTTTTCTAAACTAAAAAGTCACAGACTCTTCAGCCTTTCCTCATAGGGAAGATGCTCCAACCCCTGATTATCTTGGTTGCCCTCCTCTGTACTTTTTCTACCTTTGCAATGTCTTTTTTGAAATATGGTGACCAGAACTGTACACAGTATTCCAAATGAGGCTGCACCATATATACAGGGGCATTGCAATATTGGCCATTTTATTCTCAGTCCCTTTCTTAATAATTCCTAACATAGAATTTGCCTTTTTCACCACTACAGCACACTGGGTTGACACTTTCATTGAGCTATACACTATGACCCCAAGATCTTTTTTTCTCTCTCAGACTCAGCAAGTTCAGATGCCATTAGCCTAGACTTGAACTTGGGATATTTTTTGTCCCAATGTGCACCACCTTACACTTACCAACCCTGAACTTCATTTGCCACATTGTCGCCCACTCACCCAGTTTGTGGAGGTCCTCTTGGAGCTTTTCACAGTCAGCCTTGGTTTTCACCATCCTGAATAATTTTGTGTCATCTGCAAATGGCCCCTACACTAATCACCCGTAGTTCCAGATCATTGATGAATAAATCAAATAGAACTGGCCCCAATACTGATCCTTGTGGGGCCCCATTGCTTACTTCCCTCCATTGTGAGAACTGTCCATTTATTCCTACTCTTTGCTTCGTGTAATTTAACCAGTTTTTAATCCATAAGGGAAATTGTCCCCTTATGCTATGACTGCTAAATTGACGCAGGAATCTTTGGTGAAGTACCTTGTCAAAAGCCCTTTGAAAGACCAAGTATATAAGGTTAGTAGGTCAACTATCTCACAACTGAGATCCTTAAGAACTCTCAGGTGTCTGCCATCAGGAGCTGGAAACATATTGGTTTTTAATTTCCCCAATAGGTCTAGAATTTGGCTCAGTTCTTCAGACTCCCTTTCTGAAAATTTGGTGTGGGTTAGAGTTAGGCCCCACACTTTACACAGTGAAAACAGAAGCAAAAAAAA